GCTCTATCACTATTGAAAATTTTGTAGTATTAAAAAAAATATATCCGAAGTTTATGAAAAGACATAATTGTATTTGATTTTCAAGAGCACTCCTAGAAATATTTGTTATAGAAGATTGTAACACTAATTCTGAGGTACCCTGTGTATCAATGCTGTTATATTTAAGTCCGTAGTAATATAAATTGTATTGATTTCACTATTATTTAGAAACAAAGAAATATACAGGATGAATTGATTTTTATTGATCAAATTTTAGGAGAAGGTAGGTTATCTAAAAATAATTATAGTTTTTTATATACAGGATGTTTTCTAATAACGTGCAGAAAATCTAGGCGCGTATTCTGTAACGAAAATTAATTTTATTAAGTAAACATAGGGTCTTAAGGCCGCCGTTTTAGAGCTACAGGATTTTCAAAATAAATATAAATAAATTAAAAAATTTTGATTTCTCAATCGATATTTTTCACAAATATGATATAGATTTTTAATATCTCATAGCAGTTTAAAAAACAACCAGTGGGGGAGTTATAGGTACTGTCATATTTTTAAAAATGTATATGTGTAATATTACAAAAACAAACTGTATCCTCATATTCTTCATTATATTGTCTTCATTTTTTTATTCCTTCACCGTCTAGCAACGAAACTGATTTTCTTAACAAGTGTATTTTTTATTATATACAAGTTGATTCAGTCATAATGTCAGTAATTTTAACCACGTATTCGAAGGGCCTAATAAAGACAGAAAATCGAAAAAAAAATTTTACTCGACCTTTTAAAAATTATCCTTTAATTTCTGTTAAATGGACGCCCTATTTCACAACAGCGAACGCATCGGCCAGCGGACTACAAAGCGTTCGAACGTTGAAGCGAAACAGCTGATTTCCTCAGTCGTCTTAAATTTTGCAATAGACTTCAAAATCAAAGTGCAGCCGATACCAACTTTATTAACAAAGTGCTATGAATGGATGAGTGTTATTTTAGCTGTACTGACATCTTAAATAGGTAGATACCATGTCTTCTGTCCAACTTAACAATTCTAAATATTAAGAAGAATATTTAGAACTGTTAAGTTGGATAAAAGACACTTCAAATTTCGGGCCCTGAGGATGATGTAAAATAACACCGAAACGTTGACAATGAATTAAAATATAGTGTTCTTTTATTTATTAATCTTTATCCCACGAAAACCTTGACTTGGATAACTAATCAAGATCGCTAAACAGTGGAAACGTACTTGCTATTTAACGTAAGCAATAAATTATTATGATCAATCCTCAAGGATCAATCACATATATCACATATCACATATAAAAGTTCAAACCTTACTCTCGCTTACAATGTTGGATTTTGCAGAAAACAGTACAAAATGTTCACTTTACCGCTGACGTACTGTTTACTAATGCAACTCGAAAAATTTATTTCCATAATGATCAAATCATGGTCCGTTGAAAACCCCCACCTCATACTAGAATCTCGGTTTCAACATCGATTATTATCTGTAAATGTATGGTTGTGTATTATCGGTGACTTCCCGATTGAGCCACACGTCTTACCAGGCTCTTACTAATAATTCGTACCGACAATTTCTTGAAAACATGTTGATACCTGAACTGTTACCACTTTACCTAAACAGAGGAAGTTGTTTATGCATAATGAGGCTCCCCCACATTATAGTGTGACTGCTCGTGCAAGTTAAATGAACAATTCGTCAATAAGTGAATTGGAGGAGAACCTCAACAACCATGTCAACCTTGACCGCCCAGATTACCAGACTTAAACCAAATTGATTTCTTTTTCGTTAGGGAGGTTTCGATTATAAAGGAAGACCAGCCAAGACAATTGGCATTTTCCAACGCGTTCAAGATTCAGTACGGAGAAGATCTGAAGCGTGTATCTTATCTGAAGACGTCCATTTCCAATATTACTATAAGCGTTGTATAAGTCATTAAAAATACAGATAATTCAATAGCGCATAATATTACAAACATAATTTGTTTGTAATATTATAAATAACAATATTTTTTTGTAAAAAACATACCATTAACTCCCCCATTGATTGTTTATGTAAACTATTTTGTTTTACTTTATTGCTACTAATATATTAAAAATGTATACCAAATTTGTTTTAAATATTTCAAGGAATTTAAAAATTAAAAATTTTAAGTTGATTTTTTTTTTCATTTTAAAAACCCTGTAGCTGGAAAACAAAATTACCTTAATTTTAGTCACAAAATACGCCCCTGTGCACAGGAAACACCTTGTTCGTATAATACATTCGAAAAATGTTTACTTTGGGATACGCTTTGTATCTTTTTATATTTTACTTTAAAAAAACTTTACCCCAAATATTTTCCAAACGGAAAATATATCAGTTTGGAAATTCTACAAGGTGTTTTTGTTAAAGGCACATTTTTTAAATGTATTTAAAAGGCCTTTATTTAAAAAAAACACATTGATATGTTATTGACAAAATACAAAATGTGAATTATGTGTAATTTCTGAATAAAATGTATTTATTTATTACGTATTTATTTCATGGTCAAAAATTGCATTTGTAAAAATTATACAAGTGTTTCCCATCAAATAACACCAATACGGTACAACTTAATTAACTTCTGAAAATAGGCTTAAAATTCAATTGGGAATTTCAAAATGTCGTATACAGAGTGTTCCATTTGAAAATATTATGGTTTTGTGTAAATGGGACATCTGTATAATAGAAAATAATCTATAATTGTGTAGAAATTTGAATAAAACTTTTAATAATTAACAATATTCCATATTTCTATCATTATCAGTGATGCAATGAGTGAGATTTACCCTATATTGCTGTTTAATGTACATATTTATTTATTACAAAAGTATATATGGACGTCAACAGGATCAGTGCTGTGCTCTAAGTTTGGAGCAACCAAATCGAAAGGTCAAGAGCTCAGTTTAAAGCTTAGAACAGTGGTGGCTCGCCAGGTGACGCAAGTGACGCACCGTTTCACCTAAAATTTCCGTTTGGTTGTGCAATTTAAAATTATTTTCAATTTTATATAACTAAATTTTATAATTTAGATATAATTCTATATTGAAAATGTATTGTGTTTGTTTGTTTAATACACAGAATAGTTGCGCGGTGAACGCCTTCTAAAAAAACATTGCCTTCGTTTAGCGCGAACAAAAACCTCGTACCATACAAGGTATAGCATAAGCAAGTGACGCAGATAGAAATCAGTTTGTATTCCGCTTCACTTCGTAGTGTTGTTTACGGCGGTTGTCATGGCAACGAGGCGGCTAACACGTGAGTAAACTACGACGTGGGAGAACGAGTAGCATCACCATCGCCCATCGCTTTTAAATAGTTTATACGATACGACGCCCAATGCACGATTATAACGGTTCTTTATTAATATTTATTTTGTATCAATAATTATGGAAATGTCTGACCTTGAAAATTTGAACATTTTCGCCTGTGGCGCTTTTTTTTGTTTTTACTCAATCAATGAATATGCTTCACCTATTCTCAATGTCAGGAGCCGCCACTGGCTTAGAATCTGAATTTCTGAGAGCTGTGTGCATTTTTGGAAAATTCAACATGACGGCTTGACTATGGCATTTGAAAACCCTAAAAATGTGAACGTTGTTTCAAAAATTTACTCTGGATGGTACTACACATAATGAATCAAGTGGAAAATAAGTGCACAGTTGTAGTAGGGGTTGATGATCACAATTTTGCCACGGAGACATACCAAATTTCAAAATGACTCATAAGTCCGACATCCTGAATAATTATGAATCATTCGTATCTTATTTGCAATACCTAAGAACCTCGAAAAAATTAGTTAATAAAATTTCAAAACGATTGTCATTCTTGTCATTTACATTAAACTTTTGCTACAAGTCCGCCATCTTGAATCCACCATTTTGTAATTTTGAATCGTTCGTATCAGTTTTGTGATGAGTAATCCAGAAAAAACTAGGTAACATATTTTCGAAGCAACTGTCTCTAGGTATTCAGATTGGACTTCCATCATAAATCCGCCATCTTGGATTCGCCATTTTGAAATTGGTGTGGCAAAATTGTGACCACCAACCCTTACTACAACTGTGTAGATAGCTACTTATTTTCGATCTGATTAGTCATGTATAGGGCCATGCAGAGCAAAATTTTTTTAAAATTTTTTTTCATTTTTACAGTTTTCAAACACCATATTGAAGCCACCATGTTGAATTTTCCAAAAGCGCAACAGCTTTCAAAAGTACAGTTTCTAAGTTTTAAATTGAGCGTTCATTTTGGATACTCTAAACTTCAAATTTTGGGTACAACACTAATCCTGTTGACGTGAAATGTACCATATTTTTAAAAATTTTGTATTTCGAAGACATCAGTTTTTCAAAAGAAACGGAAGTAATCATTTTTGTGATTTGTCAGTGGCGAAACAATTTTTTTTAGATAGCTGCCACAGTCCATATTGCAACACTAAAATTAATTTTTTTTTTAGGTAACTGAACATTAATAAATCTAACCACCATGTATAATACCACATAAATCAAATATGGACGCATTATTGTTTTTGACTTTAATTGTAAGTATATAATTTTGAATTGTTTTTTTTATATTATGTACTTAATTTACAATTTGCATTAATGTACAGGATTTTCTGTTTCTAGGAATTTGTTTGTTTTTCTAAAGGATTTTTATTTTTCTTTTTGCAGCTTCTGCTCGTAGTCTCTAGAAGGGCTATTTTTCAACTCCTCAGTTTTGCATAAAATTAATTAGGATATTTTTCTGTTCTACTCCATAAAATTAATTTGTCTACAAAATCTAAAGTTATATCAGCAAAAATATTTCTAGGAGTTATATTCCGTAAATATTGTCCTACCACAATCGCGACGTCTGTAATGAATTTAAGAATTTGCATTTCGCTTCACGTCAAATTTTAACAATTTCCATCGACATTATCTAGCGTTTAATTCAGCACCTATACGGGGTATCCGAAAAACATATGTCATGGAGGCATTCCGTTGGTGCCGTGGACCCTCATGTGCCTGTTTAGGTTACCACTCTGACTAAACCTGAGTAAACACAATTTGCATTCGTACGGTTTCTCCCCGCTGTGTATCCTTAGATGTTTCGTGAGGGTGCTGCTGTCCGAGAAGGCCTTTTTGCACAACCTGCACCTGCAAAAAATAGAACATGTTCCAGTACAAAACTTTCATCCCAACTACCGATTGACAAGTAGATATCCCTGTATGTACAGGATGTTTTCTAAGTCCACATTATAAGGTTAGGAATTGTTTCTTAGAACTATGTAATTGTCTAATGGTGACATTTTCGAGATACAAAATTAAAAAATATACACGTTTGTTCAAATATCTCTGAAAATGTTCGACGTTGGTTGATGAAACTACTATACTGATTTCGGTAATTACTTATCAAATTTATAAAATACGCAGACACGGCGAATTTTGAAGGTCCTAAGGGCAATGTCTTCTAGTATTTCGGACTTTCGTTGAGTTATTTCAGAGGTTGCCACAGAAAACTGTAAAAATAATTTTAAATTAACCTTAGTCCAAAAATGCTTCATTTGAAATTTAAAGTTACAGGTATTAAAATTTGACTTTTGAGATGTTTTTTTCAATAATTCCAATAAGCGACATACGAAGTACATTCAGAAAATAACCGAACTGTTTGATTTAGGCGTCTAAAGTGTCAATGATGATTTTTGAGATGTGCAATTTGCTGGAACAACGACGCAACGTAAAATTTTGCGTGAAACTGAGGAAAACTCTCACAGAAACGTTTCAATTTTTGAAACAAACTTACGAATATGATGTAACCAATGGTTTTCACGATTTGAAAGTGGTCGTCAGTCAATTGAAGATGATCCTCGACCACGAAGGCCTTCGACTTCAACTGATGACTTCCTCGTTCAGAAAGTCAAAGATCTGGTGCATGCAAATCGCCGATTGACTGTCAAAGAAATTGCAGAAGAGGTTAGCATCTCAATTGGGTCATGCCATGAAATTTTGACTGAAAAATTGGCATGCATCGAGTTGCAGCAAAATTTGTTCCTCGTTTGATGACCGAACAACGGATAGAAAATCGTGTGGGCGTTTGTCGGTAACTCCTTAAACAATCCAATGACGATGAAACATTCATTCAAAGGATCATAACGGGAGACGAAAGTTGAATTTACCGCTACGACATTGAGACAAAAGTTCAATCATCACAATGGATTGGCAAAGGATCTCCAGCCCCAAGAAAGCACGTCAATCTCGATCGATTGTCAAAATGATTCTCACTATTTTTTTTTTTCGACTTTAATGGAATTGTGCAGTTTGCCTCAAGGTGAAACAGTAACCGTGTGTACTATCAATGCGTTTTACTATGGTGACGTGAAAAAATCCGCAAAAAGGGACCAGAGTTGTGGCGAGACAACTCATGGTTCTTGTACCGTGACAATGTGCTCGCACAATCAGCGTTGTCAATTCATCAGTATTGTGCCTCCCTCACCAGAGCTGGCTCCTTGCGATTTTTTCTTGTTTCCGAAATTAAAACCAATGCTAAAAGGACGCCCTTTTTAGACTATTGATGACATTAAAACAAATGCGTCATAGACTTTAAAAGCCATTTCAAATAAGCTATCCAGGACTGCTTCGTGAAATTGAAACACCGCTGGGAAAAGGGTGTGAATAGGTCAGGAAAGTGCTTTTAAGGAGACAAAAACCAATAATGTATAAAATTAATAATAAAGTTCGGTTATTTTGTGAACGGACCTCGTACGATATCTGATTCAAATTTAGTACACATTATAAGGGTGCGAAAAACAATAAAAATCATCATGAAACACTTCTTTCTGCATCAGTGGCGTGACCCATTCTTTATTTTAAAATTTTCCCCGTGTATGGGAAACAACTGCTGTACTGAACTGTACTGAATGCTCTAAAAATGATCTTATCAATTTCTCTTAAGATTCAACTCTCTGTTCCAAAGAATAGAAACTTAAAAAACTAATTAACTGAATATTTTAAAACATTTTAACAACTGTATTTATATGAACTTTTTTCTGTTCTTTTAAGGAAATGATTTAATTATACAAGCCTGAAAGAATAAGGAAAATATTATCTTCCAGTTTCTGCCTCTGCATGGACCCATGTACCTATAGAAAAAAGATATACACTGTAAACAAAATTGGTGTAAGTGAAAGCAATAAAGGCTTGGAGTCAAATATATTGAATACATTTTCACTCAATATTGGGCATTTTGATCATTTTACTCATTTGTGATGATATTTAAACTAAAACTGACTACATTCACTCAAATATAGGTACTCCTTAAATAAATTTTTCACATAAACTCGTATTTGGTGTACTTGTACCTAAATCAGAGTAAATGTCCTCATTACTGAGTGAGTTTAAATGTATATTAATTTCGAGTGGCGCCGTGAAGGTGGCACCACATACATATTGCATCTGTAATCTCGACCACAGTTGATAGCGTGATCGCCAGGAGAACAGACCTTAGCCGGCGGCGGTGGGTCTCAGCTGACGGGTCTTAGTCAGGACAGGAGGAGACCCCACGAAGTGAATTAATTTCAGCACGGTATATCCTAATTAATCATTTATGAGTGATTTATTTTTACACTCATTTAGTTAATTAAAAACCAAGTCTGAGTAAAAAATGACTCAATAATAGTTAAATTTAAATCATATTAGAGAAAAAGTCAACTCTAAAATGGTTTTATATACTGAGAATAGAGTCAAAAGTCGTTCAATTGATAGTTAGCAGTGAGTCAAACTCACTCATTTCTGATTCAATAGTTTCACTCAGTTGTACACATACCAATAGAGTGAAAATTTTACTCAATCGGGTGTGGACAAAAATTGATACATTATTGAGTAAAATTCAGTGAAATTTGATTGAATTTTTTTACAGTGATTGTAACAATCGATTCGTCTCTTTAAAGGAAAAATAAATAAAATCATATGGACCTTTTCGGAATAGCAAATGAAACCTTCTGTTTTTACTCAAAATCCAGCAAACTGACAAGAGGCATTTGTTGTGTAGAATCGATTAAAAATTCATAAATTCAGTTATTTTCCTAAAAAGGTTCACAGACGAGGAAAATATTTTCAAGAAGAGATTGCACATCTCCCTGTACGCCACTGATGCAGGAAATGAAATGTTTGTGATGATTTTTATTTATTAAATTTCAAAGATAATACTTTAACACCCTAAGGAATAAGTGGTTGCTGTACGATCTCTGTTTTAAGCTATATTCGAAAAACATCAACAAAAGATTTGTTTTTTAATGGAGTTGAAAATAATTTTTAAACAATTTTTTTATGCGTTTACAAATTTAAATGCCTTTTTTTAAAACGGTTCACTAGAGATATTATCAAGGAATACCTTTTTTAAGCAGAAAAATTGGGGGGAAATATTTTTCCAACCCAAAATGAAATATACCATGGCATAAAAAAGTTTTGGCAGTTTGAATGCTTCCTAATGGTCGCTTGTGGCGCCCTGTAGAAGATACAACGAAATCGTCGATAAATTCAGATTTATCATCCCAAAAAAACCCCGTATATGGAGTTTCACGAAATTAGCTCGAAGTAGTCGAAAGATATTAAAGAAAATGTTATTTATTTTTTGACACCCTGTAGCTCTGTTATTACCAATTTTTGGACTAAGGCAGGTATTAGTTAAATCGCTTTATTTTTAGCCGTACTGGTGGAGCGTTGTACAGACCCTTTAGACACTCTGTGTATTCCCTAACAAATCTAAAATTGGATGGCTGAAACAATCTATTTTTAAAATATTGAATTATACAGGGTGTTTCATAATGATGTGCAGATATTGTAATGAGGTGTTTAGAAAGTAATTTTAGGGGGGGTGGGGTACTTCCTATATATTTTATTGATTTGAGCCCTCACTGAGAAAATATTCATTTCTCAAAATAGCCGAAAAAATTTACTTTTTTTTTTCACGAAAACGGTTAAACTTAGAATTTTGGTACACGTTAACAACTAGTTGAATGATATTTTTTGGTAGTCTTTTTTTTCTGGTTTATGTCTTTGAATGAAAGAAATTGGCACCCCTTGGATTTATTTCTCTCACAACTTTTTTCTACGTTAGCCAATTCCAACAAGAATCCAACAATAGCTTTTAATACTACATTTCATTTAGAAACTTTTTTGACTCTTCCCATTTTTTCGTATACTTAATGGTTTACGAGCAAAAAAATTAATTATTTTTCCTTGCCGATTGTACACATAATTAGTATAACAGTTACCAAACACGATCGTCATTTTTGACATGATTTTTGCAAAAAATATATTTTTATCAATAGGAAAAGCTAAGCAAATATGAACTACTCCTCTACTTTTTTTGATCCAACATTCCACGTGACAACTTCTACGAGTTCTAAAACTCAACAGGGTCGACTTAGTAATCGTCTTTCTATTTACTATCAAAACACTCGTGGACTTAATTCTAAAACCGCTGATTTATTTAATCGAGCTCCCATTTTAATGTAATAGCATTAACAGAAACATGGTTGGACTCTTCAGTTTTTAACAGTGAATTATTCTGTAATAACTATAACGTATATCGGGTGGATCGCAATTTTACTGAAACTAATAAAGTGCGAGGAAGTGGTGTTCTTGTGGCTGTAGATCAACATTTTAAATCATCATTAGTTGAAATTGATAAAAGTAATCTGAATTCAAATATTGATTTGGTGGTCATTAAAATATCATTTGATTTTTCGACTTTGTTTTTGTTTGTCATTTATATTCCACCACCAGTAACTTGAAGTTTACTAGAAAATTTGTTTGATTTTGTTATGTCATTGGAATGTATATATGGCATGAACGTCTGCTTGTTGGGGGACTTTAATATTACTGCTTACTCAGAATTTTTGGATTCTGGACTTCAAAATGTCTCGGTTAACTCTCTTTTGAATTTTTTAAATTGTGTCAATTGTGTTCAAAGCAACACAATAAGAAATGCGAATAACAGAATATTGGACTTAGTAATCCACAACTGCGAGTGTTGTGTAATAGAAAGAGCGTATGATACAATTACTACTGAAGTAGATCATCCAGCTCTGTTAACATATTTAAATTATTATCAATCTAAGAATTTCAAACGGGAATTCCGAACTAATCTTGAACGCAATTTTAACTATAGGAAAGCCAACTTTGTTGAGTTATACAATGCCTTACTGAATACAGACTGGTCTGTTTTAAATTATGAGAAGACTGTTGACACAATGTGTGATATCTTTTATAATAAAATATATGAAATATTCGATGCATTTGTGCCAAGGTATGGTAAATTTCAAAAAAGTAAATATCCTCCCTGGTTCTCGCGTGACATCATTAGTGCTATCAAACAAAAAGCTAATTTCTATAAAAAATTTAAAATAACTGGAAGTGCTATGCAGTTGGATAATTTTAAAAGGTTGAGAAATAAAATAAAATCCGATATAAAGGAGTCTTATAATTTATTCATAAAAAAAGTCGGAACGCGATATCAAAAGTGACCCAAAACAATTCTGGACATTTATAAAGAAAAAGAGGAATTTGTCAAACATACCTACTACTATGAATTATAATACTAACACAATCACGTCTCTACCTGAAATTGTAAATTCTTTTGCGGACTTTTTTATGCAGTCGTTTTCGCATGATACCTCAATAAATTTGATTTTTCAAAATTATGTTTGTTACGCGCCTACTATTAACATTCAGTCTTTCTCAGAACAAGAAGTAGTACGCGCTATGAAAAAGTTGAAACCCAAATTAACAGCTGGACCGGATCTTGTGCCCTCATTTTTAATTCGCAACTGTATGTTTGTTTTTAGCAAACCTCTACAAATGTTGTCTCTGTCTAAAATCCAAAACAATACCTAGTATTTGAAAAACATCTAAAGTTAGTCCTATATATAAAAATTTGACAGATCTGATGTTAATAATTATATAGACCAGAGTCAATTATATGTAATTTTTGCAAGGTATTCGAGTTTTTGCTTCATGATTCAATTTTTTCTTTAACAAAAAATCTAATCTACCGTATCAGCATGGTTTCTTCAAAGGTAGGTCTACGGCAACAAATCTCATGATTGATACGCAAAACTTTGTGAATTAATAGATAATGGCCATCAAACTGATGTTATATATCTTGATACTAAAGCATTCGACCGCTTAGATCTTTTGCTCAATAAGCTTGCACATTTTGGTCTCTCTAATAACTTAATTGCGCTGTTTAAAAGTCTTATCTTAATTGTCGTACTCAATATGTTGAGATTAGTGGCTTTAAATCAACTCGATATGTTGCAGTATCCGGCGTGCCACAAGGTTCCGTGTTACGTCCACTGCTATTCAATATTTTTATTAATGACATAGGCCATAAACTCAATGCAAAATTTTCGTTATACGCTGACGACGTAAAATTGTATAAAAGAGTCGAATGTACACAGGACTGTATTGAACTTCAAAAAAATCTGGAGGTGATTGGGGAATGGTGTATATCAAATGGGCTTCAATTAAACATTAAAAAATGCAATAGTATATCATTTACTAAAAAAAAAGACGCCAACTGCATGTCACTATTCACTGAATGGCAATCGTATTTCTAGAGTAGATATGTTTAGGGATCTAGGTGTCCTATTTGACACGAAACTATCTTTTTCTCATGACATAAATACTGTTATTTCTGAGGCATTAAAATTATTTGGTTTTATTGAACGATGTACACGTGATTTCTCAAATTGTCATGTAATTAAGATACTTTACACATCATATGTTAGATCTAAATTGGAATATGCGGCAGTTGTTTGGGCTCCGAGCTATGATGTCTACGATACCAAATTCGAGGGAATACAGCGAAAGTTTTTGAAATATTTGACATATAAAAGCGTTGGTTTTTATCCCGAGCAGGGTTTTCCACATGATGACTTGTTAAGGAGATTTAACTTTTCTTCATTAAAAAATCGCAGAGAATACTTTATGCTAATCACATTGTATAAGATAATTAACAATCTTATTGATTGTCCTGATATTTTATCAAGATTAAATTTGTATATACCCAGAACAATTCAAAGGCATTTTAATGTATTTTATTTAACTACACCGAGAACGAACGCTTTAAAATTATCTCCGTTATATTTAATGTGTGATGTATGCAACAGTCAATTAAATTTTAATATTTTTAGCAGTACCTACTCTGTCAGCCGTTTCCAGAGCATTGATTCATTGAAAACTCTGGCATTATCTTTCTTTCTTTTTTTATCATAATTTGTGTTATTCAACTTTTTTATTGCTATTTTCTTGTTTTGTTAACTTATGTAAGATGTGTTTGTGCTTTTTCTTGCATTTTCTTGTCATGCTTTGTAATTGGATATATACCTGTAAGGCAAGGACTTCTTAAATAAATAAATAAATAAATAAATAAATAAATAAATAAATAAATAAATAAATAAACTAAAAAATAAACTAATTTAAAAAAATTAAAGCTAATTTTTTCGGCCATTTTGAGATTTGAATATTTTCTCAGGGGTACTCAAATCGAAAAAATGTATTGGAAATACCCCCCTAAAAGTACTTTTTAAACGCCTCTTTAAAATATTTGCACACCATTATGAAACACCCTGTATATTGAATTATTGATTTAAATATTGAATAATTTTCAGTAATTTGTCTTAATAAAACATCATAAATCATCACAAAATAGTTCTGTTTTATGGTATCTCATCTTATGTAAATCATTTTGTGTCTTCCTTCCCGGAACAAGCCACCCTCCTACCTGTATGGCCTCTCTCCGGAATGCGTGCGCATGTGCGTCGTTACCGAGGAGCTCTGGGAGAAGCGCCTGTCACACACCGGACACCGAAACGGCTTTTCCCCGGAGTGGGTGCGCACGTGCGCCGTCAGGTTGGCCGCCTGCGAGAAGGACTTGTTGCAGTCGATGCAGCGGTAGGGCTTTTCGCCGCTGTGGGTGCGCAGGTGGGTCTTCAGAGTGCTGGGCCGGGCGTAGCTCTTCCCTGAAACAGGGGCACGATTACTGAAACGTTTCAGCTTCAGGTCTGATTTACTAAACTAAACTAAAAGGAAACGGACAACGTTGTATTTGACATTAGTAATTCAAAAAGTTTTTTACTTAAGTAGACTTGTTAATATCAAATATCTATTATTATTTTTATTTACACTATTCAACAGGCCACAGCCCAATAGGCAATACAATATTGATATAAACAAAAAAATTATACACGGACATAATTAAATATGACACACTAAGAAGTACAAACAAATGGGGTACAGTAATAACAGAGGAAAACAAAATTTTAAATACAGGTCAAAAAAGTCATGCAAAAAATAATAGAGAGTTCTATTTTATTTTAATATAAAGTAATTTTCTTAAGATGAGTTAAATTGCAGGAAAAAACGTGTGTAGAAGTAGAGATTTCGCAAGCTAATTGCAAATTCAGTCGTTTTATAAAATGCCTAAATGTTTTTAAAATGCCTAGGCAAATCGTAAAAATGATGTGTAAATATCGGAGATATTAAAGAGGGGAGAATACGCATATACCACTGCGCATAACTTTTTAGGTGGAAGGGCTTGGAGGCCGCCATTTTTACATCACAATGTCATTTTGATGGTGGATGTCCTATTATTAACTTGATATAGTGAAAGTTTAGAATTATTTGAGTGTTTTGTTAAGCAAAATGAGTTGTAGTGTAAATACTTGTGGGTACACATGTTCGCAAGTGACCCATTTTTAAGTACAACGTCAAGAGCGCCAGCGAGACGCTGCCCCGACGCACCAGGGTTCCCGGAAGACGACCCCGGCAGACTGGCGCCAAGGATCAGGTACTTCTGCGAAACACTCCGCACCACGAGGACGGACTCTCCAAAGAACACTCGCCCCTTCAACACGTCTTTTCCGCAAACTTAGTTTTTAGTAAAATACTTTATTATTACCGTTGGGAGAGCGTTTTATTCTTGCTGTACAGCGAAAGCAACCCTCATACTTGTAAAAACATCAAGCGTTTTAAGCCCACAGGAGTTACATTTCACAGGAATTTTTATAATATTAATTTACAAAATTATACGAAATTTGTGTTTTCTTCATTTATTTTGTAGATTTCCACGAGATGAGAAAAACGCAGTGGCTACAAGCTATAGGTGAAAAACAATGTAGCTGTGATACAGTTAAATATAAATTCGTCTGTTCTCAGTATTTTAAAAAATCAGATATAGGAAGAACGCCAGACAAAGTGTATCTAAGACCTAATGCCGTTCCATGTCTGTCTATTGGTGAAATTGCAGAAGTCTCCATTCCTGCTGATGAGAATATGACACTATAGTAGGATCGTATTCGATGCAAAAAGTTGTCGGTCTTTTATCAAAGGAAAACCGTGTCATTATTTTTAGGAGGCGTAAGATGAACCATTTCAAATTTAAAATGAAATTCAATGTTAAATCTGAAATACCGCTGCATACGCACTGTGTTCTGGTAGTAGCTGTAGTCGCCCAGGTGCATCGAGTGTACGAAGTGGTCGGTTATACGTTAAATACTAACCTGGCGAGCTTGATCGTAAAACAGAGAGCGCCTCCAAAAAACAAGTAAACAACAGTGGCGCGTACAGAGGTAAAATGTAGTACATATGTGGAAATTAAAAAACAAACTGGATTTATAATAAATTACATTTAAAATAAATAGTTTATGAGAATAAAGGAATTTTTGAAGAAAAAGGGTGCCAGGCGTGAACTGATCTCCTCGTCCCTTCATAATGTATAAAGAAATTATTCAATTTCTAAAACCCTTAAAAGCGGACTGCATTGGATCCCTTGACAGGCAATGATTTTATTACTTTGCATCGAATATGATTCTACTATAGTTGCTTCATCATCACGTGAGCTACCTGTTTCTTTGCTAGAACAATTTGCAGAGGATCGGTCTCATGCAAGGACAAGGAAGAAAAAAAGAAAGCAAGAGAATGAGGTTTGTTTTCAAATTCCATAAAATTACACTTTCTCGAAGTTATCATAAGTAAAACATCGTAAAACTAAAGTTGCTATTAAGTATTGCCTAGTAAATTTTACTTTAATGCACAACTTTTAAAATTCCACAAATATCAACTACCTACTTAATTATTTAAGTTACATACTCAAAATTTTTAATTTGATTATCACAGTTTTTAATTGGGTTTATTTGTTTTTAGGTGGATTACACATTCCCTCATTCCCCGTGGTAAAAATTTGCTCTGCAAGTCAACAGTGCATCAGACACGTTATGGAAATAACAGGAAGGACAATACCATCGGAAAAACATTTTTTTACAACATTTGTTTTGGCTGTGGCTCAGAAATTCTATTTTTCGGACCTAGTGAATCATTTTATCACCTTCACCTATGCGGAAGAGAACCATAAATTTTTACTTATTAAAATTAATATTATCACCTGCTACAGCCGCAGATTTTACAATCTTTCAAAATCCTACTCTGAAAAGATTCATGGTGCAAACGTAAGACATCAAGTAACTAAAATACTAAAGCTATTTATGTATTTATAGGTTTTAGGTTAAGTATTAAAAACCTGTTTCTATTATATAATACTATATTATACGTGTTTCTATTATGTAATTATATATTTACATATTTTTTTTAAATTGCGTTTTATTCTTATTGTTAATAATTTATTGCTGTAGTTATGAAATCGAATACTTTGAAAATGATGCAGATGATATCGATTTTTAAAATTTGGCGCCAGAAATTGACATTATTGAGGTAAAAATGGCGGCCTCCTGGACTGCTATACTCGCGCAGATCCTATGTGTCCTTCTCTAATATCTCTGGTAAATACATTTTTTACAATTTGACTGAAAACTTTACGCGTTTTTATAAAACATGGGATAGCTATATGACTTATTATAAATGCATCATAATTTCCATGTTCTTTAGAATATGATTGACTTTCTCCAGTCGTTTTCGAAACGACTAAAAATTGGGCATTGGGCATTTCATGAAATATTAATATATTATTCGTACAATATTGCATACAAATAAGAACTATTTTTTAATTCTATACAAGGTGTTTCAGTTCGAGTGAATCAAACTTTTAACCACAAATAGAACTCGATAAATAATTCAGAATTTCCTTATAAAGCAAGGCTCTAAGTCCGTTTTTACTGTACAGGGCCGTATTGGTCGGATGTTAAAATCATATTATTTAAGAAATCTTTGGTATACTTATAACAAATTTATTCAAATTTGGTGTGGTGTTAACATTTGCACACGTGTATAATTTATTGTAAAATTTATAAATTTTTGTGGGTCAGTGGCGTAGGAATGGTTAGTAAAGCGGGATTTCTTTACCCCAACTTCTACGCTAATGACCTAATAATCATTTGGGATTCATTTTTAGATTCCGTTATATCTGTTTGAAACAAACGGACCGTTGAATGAGCAAAGATACCTGTAATTGCTTCACAATGGCACAAATGAAATTTTAGAGGAGGTGCCATTGAATATGCTGTCCACCGCACTGTAGCGTAACAAAAAAATGAGCTCAGAGGGGAAATTCACCACATTACGAATGCAATAAATAATACACAAGAGTGAGAGATATTTTTAATTTACCAGTCGTTTCGACGATTTAAAAACATCTTATTTAATATTGTTTCGAATTCTAAGTTAATGCGTGACATTATAATAATATTAATTTAAAATTTATTTCCTATCCTTAAGAAACTAAATTTCTTATCAGAAGAAGGGTGTCCCATAAAACTGAAATTTTCGGTAAAACATATACTATACCGATTTTCAACAAGTATACCTTTTTTATGTAGAATTGTCCACGAAATCTAAAAATGAATCCCAAATGATTAGGTCATTGGCGTAGAACTTGGGGTAAAAAAATCCCATTTTACTACCCATTCCTACGCCACTGATCTACAAAAATTTGTAAATTTTACAGTAAATTATGCACATGTATAAATGTTAAAATCACACCAAATTTAAATCAATTTGTTATAAACATACCAAAGATGTCGTAAATAATATGATTTTAACAACCGACCAATACGGCCCTGTACAGTGAATACGGTGAGACTTAGACCCTTGCTTTATAAGACAATTCTGAATTATTTATCGAGTTCTATTTGTGGTTAAAATTTGATTCACTTGAACTGAAATACTGTTATATTTGATTTTTTTAACAATAATTGTTCAGTTCTAAATCTATAAAGCTTAAAATATGTGTTTGGTATGTTACTTATTTGAAGAAGCTCCGTTCTGGGTCTTCTAACACCTTGTAGCCCAAGTTTTTGAAGTGAAAATAGTAAAAAAATACTGTTAATTTAGGTTTGTTTACATAATATACCGCGTACAAACTCATAACATGAAGTGGAAAACTAATGTAGAAACTAGAAAATTAATAATCCGCATCTGCCTTACAATTCGCCTAACTCGAGAGCAGTCTCATTATAATACGACTGAATATGTTCAGTTTATTCTAGGCGCAATGAAAAAATAATGGCTATTGCGTTCATCTTACAATAAGACTTATTCGGCGTTTTGTAAAAGTTTTCAGTCAAATTGTAAAAAAGTTGTATTTATACATCATTTTACAATTTGCCTAGTAATTTATAAAACTCTAGGTATTTTATAAAAAGACTGAATTTGCAATTAGCCTGCGACAGACACATTATTATAAACATTGCGTATATTATTATGTAGCGAAGAATACTTTGTAATATTTGTTCACATCGTGAATAAGTAAAACAAATCCAGTTGTGTAAATTAAGCTTACTTATTTGATATTAGTATTTGGTTCAGCCGATTTGATAATGGAGTAATTTAAACACAAATTTTAAACGTCTATTAATAAGTTCAAAACGACCTAGTAGAACTGACAGAAAAGCCAATAGGAGGGTATTCACCATCAATTCAAAAAGAAGCAAATTAAAAAAAAAACATTTGACGGGGTCCTGTTGAGTATAGTTAAGTAAAAAACTAAAAAAATTTCTAAGCAGATATGAAAAATGAATGAGCAGGACTTCAGTAGCATATCATTAAAAACTAGTTTTTCTTCTTAAAATTTCTGAGGATTCTAAAACTGGAATATTGCCATTAAGGCATTGGCGTGCCAATATATTTTTTTAACGAAATAGTAAAACGCATCCATAGTAAGCACGCCACTGCTATATCTATTAAAGTAAAAATCGGCACGTTTGTAGAAAGCAATTCAGCAAATATCGCCACGCAAAGAAATATTCTTTTATTCCTCCAAAAATACTCACCACATATTCGGCATACGTTGGGTTTTTGACTCTCTTCCTCCAACAAGCTTATGCTGTGCCTTCTCCTCGGTGACGAAAAGCACATGGGTACGGGTTTGTAGGTAGTGGTGGTTAAAACTGGCGTTTCTTGTGGCGGCCTAAAATCGGCCGTGAACGAATAAGTTGCTCCTCCATATGAAGGACTTAACAGACCCTGGCTCTGGTAACTCTGTGTGTTTGGTTGAGAGGCGCTATTCCACTGTACCTTCATAAAAAATATTAACTAAAGTAAAACATACTTTTTTAACTTAAATTTATCATTTTGCATATTTTATAATATTTGGTGTTAAATTTTGTTCGAAAGTGGTCAAAAGTAAAACATCTGTTGCGAAAATGTAAAATACAAGTTATGTACAGGATGGTCCATTTTCGAAGGGAATTCAGGATTCAGGGTATCAGAAACTATGCTGATAAATTTGACACTACGTGCTCGATTTTCATGGCAAACTCAACTGTCAAATCAGAAGTTTGCTATCTTCATTTGTTTCTAAGTTACAGGGCGTTTCTCATTTTTTAACATGTCTGTATCTCAGCTGTTAAATAAATTAAAGTTACAGTGAGAGCTACTCAAGACTAATTCCTTAGCGTAGAATTGAATGCCGTATTAGATTTTTAGTAGATCCTAAGATTCCGGAGTGATGGCCCAAAGTTACTATATTTTTTTAATGGAAATCGTAGCTGGGCATGGCCAAAAAAAAGGACACCATGTAACTCAGAATAAATGAAGATAGCAAATTTATGATTTAACAATAGAGTTTATCATGAAAATCGAGCTCTAGAAAGTGGTTTCAGATTTATCATATCTTTAGTAGTTTCTGAAATAATAATATTTCAGGATGTGTTTCTTTCAATTATTCTAAGAAGAATGTCCTAAACGGTTTACTCCCTAGAAAATTCATAAATTCAGTGTTTTTTTTTAACTTTTGATGGTACTTAATACTATTTAAGGCCACATGCCACATTTATAACAAAAAATTCCCATAATATTTTTTCTATTGCACGAGAGGTTTTATAGTTATTGTTGATTTATTCAAATGTGTAGTAAAATTATTTTAGATGAGAAGCAATAAATAAAAAGCTTGATTCGAATTTCCGAAATAAGCTGTCGATATTCTGGGGTACATACTCAGTATCTCCAATTAACATATTATACAGGGTGTAACCTTGAGTGGAAGTCATATTTATACAGAGGCTTCCTTTGACCTTCAGAAACACGTACCAATAGTTCATTTTTTCAAATTCCGTCGTAAAAACTTATTTTTTTAACCTTTTTTAGTAATTTTCGTACCCCACCGCTGGAGAAGTTAGTGTAACCTCAAATAACGGCGCGCTTAATCGTAGCGCATGTACAATTCCACACTATTCGCCGCGAGTTACTTTTCTTGAGTGGGTGTTCGCCACACAAACAATACCTTACAAGTAACCCAGCAAAAAACTCAAGCAGTAATCAATAATGACAAATGAAATACAAAAAAATAATGTTGATGACTTCCAGTGATAAAAACATTCAAATTCACAGTTATATATAGTCCCCAGATGTGGAACAACAACTGACACACTTCGCTTCGTCATGATTTACCAGCACTATCTCCCTTCACATGCATTATAGGTTTCCTACAATTCATGTGTTTGTAATACATGATTACAGTGGCGGCGCACACAAATATTAAAGTGCATTTCAAAAAAATAATTATAACTCGACTATTTATTAAATTTAAAAAATATATATTTCAGATTCGTATTCAGGGGAATACGTATTATATTCCTAAAAACCTGACCCCCACTTAAAGTTGAACCCTGTATATAACTGCAATGACTCCTTGACTAAATTAAACCACTAAACTAAGTTTCATCAATCTGTGTCAAACATATTCACATATTTACATAGATTGTATTACATAGAGATATTTACATAAATGTAACATTATTCAAAAACTTTTACACCTTAACTAAGCCGTTTAATATATGTACTCGTATGTAGGCTCATAGAAAGCACCTCCTGAAATATTTTTACGTACCTACCTAAGTTAGGCTCTGTACGTGTAAAAATAAAAAAATACATATTTTTGACTGAAAATTGTACAAAATTAATTTTATATGTATTTACTTTTAAACGTATTTACTTAATACGTTGCCTGTAAAATTACTTTATCATCTCGAATTCTATTTCTACAAGATGCGTTCCAAAGTAAACAGGACTTTTTAAAAAATAGTAGAACAAAAAGTCTTTTTTGGTTAAATCGATTTATTTTATTCAAAATAGTCCATTTCCTACTCAATACAGCGATTTAAATGCTCGAAAAGCATATGGAATAAGCATTTTATATCGTCGGCCGGGATGTCCTTCAAGATGTCGCAAGTCCACAAAACGCTTTCCTTTCATCGGTAAATGCACCTTTCCGAAAATGTAAAAGGCGCACAGTGCCAAATTAGGCAAATACGGGGAATGGTTGACAGTTAAAATGCGATTTTTACTCAAAAAATCGGTCACCAGCCGAAAACACCAGCTTCCTTCTGCGCGATATTCTGGCCGAATACCTACGACAAATACGATTCATCAAACGCTTCAGAACGCCAAGATAGAATTGTGCATTAACGGTTTGTCCCTGTGGAATGAACTCTTTGTAGAAATGGTCTTGAAATCGTAAAAACAAATCAACATTGTCTTCACTTTTGACTTCTCCAAAGGATATTTTTTTAATTTTGACTCATCTGACGCCTTCCACTCAGCATTTTGATGCTTGGTTTGTAGATCATACTGAAAACACCACGTTTCATTACTAGTCACAATGTTATAAAGGAAGTTTTGCTCCTTTTTGTTCTTCTTGTTGACCTCCGTCTTGATTGTTGAATTCTGAGCAATTTTTGGTCGTCAGTCAACTTGTGCGAAACAAACCGTGCACACACTTTTCGGTAGCCCAAATGTTCAGAAATTGATGTTTTTGAGATGTTCAATTCTGATTCTATGAATTTCAATGTAGATTTTGGCAGATATTCGATGAATTCATGCACAGTTTTGATGGAATTTGTGGTGGTCACGGATTTCGATTAGCCAACATGTTGCTTATTATTTGTCCTCACGATCGTTTTTAAACCGCCACTCATGAACTCTGCTACTGAATAAAAAATCATCACCATAAACTTGGTCCAAATTTTACCTAGTTTAAACAAAACTTAATATTAGCTCTTTGTTCTATGCTCATTTTTGTACGGATAACACAAACATACTGTCACTTCAGATACAATAACTCCTCTTCTATTCGTCCAAAAGTCATGAAATTTTGTTAGTACATCAGTGAAGGATCTACCTTTCCGGTGCATCTAATTGCCAATAGATGGCCTTTGAAACGCAATTTGTATTTAATTAAAAATGAGACCTAGTAACACATTCATGCTATTCCGAATTGCTGTTGTTACATTGTAAAATGTTCACTTTATTTTAATTGTTTTAATATTTTTAAGAATGTAGAAAAGATGATCCGTTAAAATTAAACTAATTTATAAATAGGTTCATGTGAATTTAGTTTGTTCGGTATCTTAATTAAGAAAATATTATTTTAATTGGATAATTTCAGCGTAAGGCAAAATAATGTCACTTCATTGATCAAGTCATGACTAAAAACTTAACTTTCTCATATATGGGTAGAAAATTATATTTCGAACAGAATTGTAAACCAGTAATAAAATAAATTCCTTGACAAGCATAATAAAGATAAAGTAAATCCAATATAAAAAGTATAAGCAATCCACATATGTTACTTATATGATTTCCTAGAGTTAAAAATAACTCTAGTGGTGATCTGCAAACTCGAGACTTTTACTTAAATCGAGAAAAATGAAGGTAAAACTCTTTGCTCACAGAAAATAGTAAAACCAAATTTGAAAATATTATCACGAAATAATAACATATATTTTTCCTTTTTCTATAAATTATTATGGATTTAGTATGAATTGACAATACAAATTTTAATTGCCTCAAGATCTCAAAACAACTTTATTAGTTTTTGGCAGGATGCATAATCAGTACAGTATACAGGGTGTCCGCAAATTTCACCGACAACGTTTGACTGCATATTCACGACGATAAATAAATACGATCTACAAAAAAAAAAAGTTAAATAAAATGTTGATTTTTGAGTTACACGCCTTCAAAGTTATCAAAAATAAAATTAATTTAATTAAGAACTTCATAACCCTTTTACCGATCGCGTTAAAATTTGGCACATTTATTTAGACTATTATGGCATATATATCTTAGAGCCTTAGTCGAATCGATATAATGGGTGATAATTTTCTCCGATTACCTCTCCCTTTCAGCAGTCCACACTTTTACAGTGGTCGTATTTTTTCAAACGGGTAGCAACATTGAAAAGGTCGTTTTATTTAAAAAAAAGCATTGTCTCTTGAGGTTATCGCCTACTGAAAGCCATTCTTAAGAAAAATTGCATTATTTGCAGGTCTGTATGTTTCGGTTTGTGTAGCAATGTCACGAATTTAATACTTTAAGTTGAGTAGGCGATGAAAACAAGATGTTGATTGCTGTGGCTATCAGGTAATGTCATTATTGTCGTGTTTGTTTAGGATTCTCATCACTCCACACATGCAAATTATGAAAATATATAACTCGGTTCCTTGTAAAACAAGATTCGTCAGTATAAAATAATTTTTGAAGCAAATTATTATCTTCTGCGAAGCCATTCACCAACCAGTGGCAAAACTGTAAACGTGCGTTAGGATCTAAATTTTCAAGTTCTTGAACCGGAGTTAAATGAAATACACGAAGAAGTTGCTTTTTTTAAGTTTTGTGACCATTCGTTTTACATCATTTAATTATCTAGATACACTGCGGACACTTCATAATTTGCATGTGTGGAGTGATGAGAATCCTAAAGAAAAGTGACAATAATGACCGACATTACCTGATAACCACAGCAATCAACATCTTGTTTTCATCGCCTACTGAACTCAAAGTTTTAGACTCAAAAACCAAAATGTTTTTATTTAACTTTTTTTTCGTAGACCGTATTTATTTGTCGTCGTGAATATGTAGTCAAACGTTATCGGTGAAATTTGTGGACACCCAATATTTGGTAGACATTCATTAGGTATGATGGAGAATGTAGATGTATTTTTTATCACAAGTAAATTGATATGCTGAAAAGTTCTCTGGTTGACAAGTTCCTCAAACTAATTCGCTGCAATTGACTGAAAGTTGTGAGAAAAATATACCTTTTAGCTCGTACTAGAGAAAACAGTATGTAAAGAATGTAGATGTGGAGGAAGCTGTTTCAAATACTACCGAAGAAACTTCACACACAAGTGTAAGAAGAATTGCAGTTGAAGTACATTATTTCAATGTGAAGTCTATAGAACATTAAAAGAACAACAATTATGGCCCTATCACCTAATAGGAGTTCACGAAACTTTACCTAATAACACTTTAGACAATATTTTTGAAACTGGTTGGCAATACTAGGGCTATATTTACTAACAGGTTATATTTTACGAAAAATAAGATAGTAAATGTCATCAATCGTGAATAATAATAATAATAATAAATAATAATATCTCTACTCCTCATTCTAATTACGAGAATTAGCCCAGAAGTCGGAGACTTGTGAGAAAGAGGAGGCGGCATATTATTATTACGCAGGCCGCATTTGCGCCCAGGAACGACTTATGTTGGTAGGCCCTAACCACCATTGAGTGCAGGAATGAGGGAAACCTGGAAAACCTCATTAATTAGGGGGGTGGTCAAATGCCAACCGGTGTCAATCTCTCACATTGACCCAAGCCAACATTTTTCCACCCTACCAGACCTGCACAGAGGGCGCCAATTCTCCGTACAAGTATAGATAATCTACGGTCTACCGGCCGCGAGATTCGAAACCCGGGCAGTTCGACACATCGATTTAAGTACTGACGCCTTAAACCGTGCGGCTATCGACCGAATGGAATGACGATAATTCAAGGACAACAATTGTTACTACTCCCAACATAAATTTGTTATTAATATATAATCTGGAATTTTCGATGACATTTATTAGGACCTGTTGAGTCTAAATAAAGTTCGGCAGTCAAATTTCTTAAAATATACTTTGCCAGATCTGTAGAAGATCTGAATGTTAGAAGAGACTTCAAATTATGCGGCAGGTCCTTAATAATCAGTTTTCTGAGCGATGGATTGGACGTGTGCAAGATACAGCTGTAAATTGGCCTGACAGTTCATCCGACCTGAATATTTTAGATTTTTATTTTTGGGAGTTCACTAAAGCTAAAGTTGATTCTACGTCACTAGGAACTATAAGCGTGAATTATGGACCTGTCAAAACTGTTTTATTTTGGGATACGACAAATAATTCGTCGGCGTATACATAGAACTTGATCAGAAATTTCAGTATTTACTACAACATTTTACTGCCTTTTGTTTTGTTTAGTACCTACTTTATTTACTTCCTGTATTCAATTTTTAAACTTTGCCGTAAAATAACTGATTCTCAGAATAACACAATTTTTAAGAATTTGAGAAAACTGAAATTGCTAATTACTCGATTCTTAATTAATTCCCATGATTTGCTGAATACTATTATTTTTATTATTTGTTAAACTCTCACATCTCCTTTTCACTTTGTATAGCGGTTACTCTGCGATATATTGTCCCAACCTATTCAAAATAAATAACTTGCAGCATCTAGATGACTGGAATACTAAAATATATCTTCTATTACCTGCGGACAAGAAAGATCCGTAGTAGAATATCCACAACCATTATTGGGATGGTAACCGTGCATGGTCATATTCATGGAGACATTCACTGACATACTGGGGAACATCGGGGGCTGTTGGGTGAAAGTCTGGTCGCAAAAACCACCAGAATATCCTCCTGGAGAGAGGAGCATTTGTGGGTGGTAGTGTTGTGCTTCAAATTTGTCAGTAGGACTCTGTCCAGGATGGACCACGGCGTGTTTCAAGGACAATAGCACGTCCGCTACATCTGCTGGTTGTTTGGTTGTTTCGCGAAACGTTACAGGCATTTGGTTTGGAACTGACAACTCTGTTCTGCAAAAAAAAAGCATATTGCATAAAAATTATTAAAGTATTCGGAATGATCATAGCCATTTTTTTCAGATTGATTTTTCGAGATATTTGAAAGATTCAGTTTAGAAAATCAAGTTATTTTACGTAATTAAACAAGTTTTTGAAAGAAATAAGAATTTGTTTCTAAAAATTCTTTATTATTCTTTATTTATTCTTTATTTATTTCTTTTAAAATCTACATAATTCCTGCTTCAGAAGCATTTGAAACTTTTAAAAGTGTTTTTAACTATGGTGTTACAAAAAATCAAATCAAGCCATTAACTATAGATTTGGGGGCAAACAGAAGGATTTTCTTTAGGCTACTTTTTCAAATGGTCGCCCATTTTTCCAGATCCAAAGTCTCAAAGTTATAATTTAAAGAGTTTTTTAACAACTTCGTTGAGTTTTGAGATAAGATTTTTCGCATAGATTTTACCGTCGTGCTGCCACTCACTTTATGTTATTTTAGTTAGAAAAATTGAAGTGAACGAAAAAAAGGCATTGAAGTAGACATTGACCACTTAGCTGTTTCCTATACCAGCCTATATTATTAATTAATATAATTTAGTTAAACATTTTCTTAAAATGCTCCGTCTCATTGTAGAAATTAAATAAATTTAAAATCAAGATCTTAAATAAGCACATTTCCCTATTAGAAAATGAGATACATAAGTCAGTACAAAAGATGTATATAAAAAAAAAAGAAAATTATCTTATTATTTGAAGTTATTTACTTGTTAGTTTTAGTTTTTCTCCTTTTTTATTAGCAATGATAAAATTAAAAATAATTGAAATATATCCTTGCGCCAAACTTAATATTCTTTTAATGATATTATTTTCCATCTCTTTTCCGAAATTTAAGTGGAACCCCATTGAATTATATGACTGTTTTCTCAAACTTGATCGCAAATTTTTTATTTCTCAATTCCTCATATTTTAATGTAATATTTGTGCTCGTCTATTCTAATTTTTGAAATCGAGAGGATTCTCCAATATAGTGTTTATTGCATTCGCAAGGTATAATATAAATGCAATTTTTTTAATTTTAAATCATTATCTGTGCGACTTTGACAACAAAGAGCCTAAAATATTAGTTGTCTGAAACACTGTTCTAATGTCAAATTTGTCACCTATTTATTATTCTTAATTTTTCCACTAGTACAGGAATATATGGAGTTGTTATTGTGGAAACAAATTACATCCACGACTGTCAAAAATAATGAAAAAGTCATTAGAGGCTCAGAAGACGAAAATAGTTAGATTTTCAAAGCTTTAACAAAATTTTAAAGTTCGATATACAGGGTGTGCTATCAATCACCCCGAATAGCTTTGCAGGATGACCTCAAATCGAAAATCTTACGATAATGACCCTTGTTCTAACCCAGAGGTCAAACTTAGGGGTCATTTGGGAGTCAATTTCAGAATTTTAAATAGAAACCTCATTTGTTTTATCGATAAATGGAAAGAGTAGAAAATTTTACGTTCATATTTGATCTCTAGGGGACCTGTGAAGATCAAATCAGCTTCTGGATTTTGGATCTGACTGAAGGGTAACTCAACAGTACTAGGTTACAGCACTTAGGCCCCATTGGGCCACTTGTGCTTCCTTTGTACGAGAGATCAGCTCTCCTTAGCCGTCAACCAACCTATTAAAGAGAAAAAGGTGATGACGTTGCTCAGGGGGGTATGTCTAATGTAGGCCGTAGAAGGCCATCGTTCTCCTAACACGGATTCTCTTATTGACGAGACAACAGTGCATTCATAGAATACATGGCAAACTGTCTCGTCTTCCTGTTCACTACTTCTACAAAGGGGTGTTTGGCACTTCCTCATATTATGGAGATGTTTCCTTAACCAGCAGTGTCCGGTATGAATGGCCATCGCCAAGCGAAGGCTTACCCTGGATATAGCCAGGTACTTTTTGACTGTGTCTTCGCAAGAGTATCTCTAGCACTCCTTAGCAAATCGACAGCTGTTTGTTTCATCCCACCATGTTCTAAACTGTCTGTGGATGTCTTTCCTAATCAAATCAAATCAAATTCAAAAAACGCTGATAACGAAAGCACACTGGATTGATCAGGTCCAAAGATACTATGACCTGATGCCCTCCTAGCTAACTTATCAGCTTCTTTACTGCCATTGCACCGACTGTGTCCTCAACTTGTAACTGAAGCCACCACCAGCGGTTGAGGGCAGTCCCATATTGATCTGGACATTATCTTCCGATTACGCAAGGTCGGGAATGATTGCCAGCTGTCTGTAGAGATTCCAATAGTTTTCTTCGTTTTCTGCCCGCAGGCAATTTTTTAGCAGATATGGTTATATCCGCAAGTTCCGCTTGCGTTACCGCGACACGCCTATCCACAGCCACTAATATTGGATGTATACGGATCTAAAGTAGATACCACATCCTACACCTTCTTTCCTTTTTGATCCATCTGTGAATATGTTATTTACACCCTTACTGACGGTCTCCTCCTCATTGTTGATGAGTAGTGTGTAGGGTTTGTCAAACGCAATCTGAGAAATGCTGGCAGTCTACCTGTAAAAGGAGGTCTTCCTGATGGTCTCATTCCACAGGCGGCACCTGACTTCTTCGCATCCTACATATGGTTTAACATCAACGTTCTTGAAGCGAAGCATAGTTGTCAAAGCCAATTCCGTTAGATAAATATCTAAGGGTGGCAGACGTAGCATCACCGCCATCGCTAACGTTGGTGTTGTATGCATAGCTCCTGTTGCGCTCGAGCAAGCAAATTTTTGCACCTGGCTAAGCTTCTGTTTAGCTGCTATCTGTTGGGCTTTTGGCCACCAGACAACAACTCCGTAGGTCAACGTTGGTCTCACTATGGCAGTGTATATCCACATAATTACCCTTGATTTCATTCCCCAGGTTTTACCAACGGCCCACTATGTATATTTTTTTTTTGTTTGTACAAAAATCAAATATCTTGACTCAGAGAGTAGATAAAAATATGAGCCTGATTGCAAATGAAAGCTGAATGGATGTAGAATATGGAAAAAATATAACTGAGACGATTTTTTTTCTATATGACCTTCGAATGACTAGGCAAAGTCTATGCAACCCAAAAATTTTATGGATTTTTCTAATTATATCGGTCCTAATTCTCTTAAAATTAAATTAAATTAAAATTCCAAATCTGGCGTCAAAAATTTTCTATTATTTTTCTAACGCTAGCAAAGTCTCTCCAAAGTCGGTATTATTTTCAAACTGCTTTTTGACACTGTTAAGCAAGAAAATTATTCACAAATTAAAGATTAATTATCAACCTGGGTTTCTGTTTTTTATTTTACAAATAAATGTCAAATAAACACACTGTAGAAGGTAAGCAGTGACTTAATAGATAATTTTTTTTTATTAACGACGAAATAAATTCAAAATTGATAGATACAATCTATACAATTGATGGGTATAACCACTCTGCTTAAAATAAATAAGTGAATCTTTAAGGTAGCTTTCTACCTTGAAAAACCATTTTTATTTTAACACTTACGCTAATTTGGGTTGGATTATTCCTTGTACTTTAAAAAAAGATGTTTTTCCCAAATTTTGAGCTATTTGAATACAAGTGTACTCAAGTTATAAGAGATAATGTTCTTTTTATTAACAAAATAGAATTTTCGATAAATTATTTTCATTATTACATATTCTACTTGAAACATTTTGTCACTATTTGGCCTAAAAACGGCTATTTTTCACATGAAAACTATTTACAAATTGTTTTAAAGATCAAAAATAAAAAATCCGAAAAAACAATGTTTTTATATGTCATTCGTAGAATATATATATTTGGGTAGAGAGCTATCTTCAGCAAGAAAAAAAGCAGATTAATATCCCGTTCATTAATTTTATTTCACAAAATACACATGTGCCTGTAAAGATATGATTTTTGATGAAGTGTTTATAAGGGACATTAATTGATTAAAATAATATAAAATTGTATATTGACATGCGATAAAGCGAGCTGTATACCTTTCGGATCCCAAGATATCATTGATATTGATTAAAAATCGTCTGAAATTTTATCAATTAAAAAAGGCACAGTTGATATTAAATCATACATTGAAACTGTCGAAACTACAGAAATAAAAGAAGATAGCGAAGAATTTGACAGAGACAGTGATTCATCGGACACATCAGTTATTTAAATTATAGTAATTAATTATTTTTTTATCAATTTTGAATTTTTTTTCGTCGTTAATAAAAAAAATATCTATCAGTCACTGCTTACCTTCTATAGTGTGTTTATTTGATATTTATTTGTAAAATAAAAAACAGAAATCCAGCTTAATTATTAATCTTTAATTTGTGAATAATTTTCTTGCTTAACAGTGTCAAAAAGCAGTTTAAAAATAATACCGACTTTGGAGGGACTTTGCTAGCGTTAGAAAAATAGATTTGGAATTGCCGTGCCAAATTGTGCAAAATCGTGTGCATTGCAATAAATTTTAAGAGAATTAGGACCGATATAATTAGAAAAATCCAAAAAATTTTTGGATTGTATAAACTTTGCCTAGTCATCCGAAGGTCATATAAAAAAAATCGTCTCAGTCATATTTTTCCCATATTCTACATCCATTCAGCTTCCATTTGCAACCAGGCTCATATTTTTATCTACTCTCTGAGTCAAGATATTTGATTTTTGTACAAACAAAAAAAAATGATACATAGTGCGGCCCTGCGACACTGTTCATAGGAAATATACGCCATTTTTATTCTTCCCTTCAGATGAAGATTCCATGTGAGTTTTGCATCTAGTGTGACTCCAAGATAACGAGCGTTCAAATAAAAACGTGGTCGAAGTTGGCTCTAACACATTGGACGTAGGGAGTAGCTTATAGCGACCAACTTAACCTCATTTCTCAACGAGCTGTATAGCAGCTGTCAGTTTCAATAACGTTAATGACTATATAACTTTATTTTAAAGAATAATCGTGATAACAATAACAAACAAT